GCTTGGCTGAGTTCTTTATCTCTTCATTTGATGTTTTAGGTTTTCAGGATTGTTGTATTCTCTGTTCGGCTTAGTTTTTCAAATCTTTGCTGTGGAGGGATAGCGTGGTGCTTCTGCCTAGAGCGCCATTTTACCAGAACTCTCCTGGAAGTTAATTTTTAATGTGCATAGCAGTATACTTTTATAATACCACAATGAACAAATATATGAAAGAATTATGTTTGAACAAGAGAGAAGACTCCCAAGTATAGTATGTTCAATACCATCCAGGCCTGAAATTACCCTATTTTGATATTGAGTGCTGTCATAATTTAATTTATGAGATTTTACGTATAGTATAGTTTCTTGAGCTGATTAAAATGACCATGTTTCATTTGCAGTATACATGATTTGCTAATACGTTTGTGTTTTACGGAAATTAAATCTTAAAAAATGTTTTTGTCTTGGATTAAGGCTCTAAGTGTCATAATTTGTTGTTTCTGAATTTTAGTATATACCTATGTAGTATTTTATTGCTCATTGGTAAAAATTCTTACTTTTTAGTAAAAGATAGGAGTTTAACCTATCTAAACGATGTAGTTTAACTATAGTGACAGAATAAAATCATGAATTTGACCTTAGTGATACATAACATCTTTCTCATTTATAAAATTTAATTGTTTTCAAAGATGCCCTTTAGTAACATGTTTTTAAAATTAATTTAAATATTTTCTGTATTTCTTTTAAATGTTTATGGCTAATACTAAATTAGGAGTTCCTGGGTGGCACAAATGGTTACGTACTTGACTATTATCCCTGTCAGGGTTGCTGGTTCAAACCCACCCCAAAGGTGCATCTGAAGAATGACCTGGTGATCTACTTCTGAAAGGTCACAGCTTTGAAAACCCTATGGAGCACAGTTCTACTCTGACACACATGGGAACACCACAAGTCGGAACTGACCAGAGGGCAACTAGTTAACTGGTTAATGCTAAATATGCTTTTGTTCACTTTCAAAGAAGTTCATATTTTGACATATGTTTTTCTTTTTTAAGGTTGCATTTTGGACACTTGCATTTGTCCTTTCTCATCCCAATATCCACAAGACTATTATGGAAGACATATCTTCTGTGTTCGGCTCAGCAGGTATTAATCTAGAATGAAATTACATAATTGAAGACACGTCTAATAATGTGTGCTTGTCACTTTTAGCTAAGCTAAATGCCCATAATTTTGTAGATATTTAACATAAGTCACAGTTTTACATAATTTGTTATGTGTTTCAGCCAGTAAAATCCTAGAACTGAATAACTGTCAAGGATTTTAGAGGTCCAACTCCCTTATTTCTGAAGCCTAAATTTATGTACATATCCAGGTTTTTTTCCTTCAAATCCTTTGACTCCCTCACCCAACTGAGCTGCAAATCCAGTCTCTTATCTGAAACTGAAGGAGCAAATGTTTTGGAATTCAAGATTTTCCAGACTTTATACAAGTAATATTGTCTATATTCCTTATATTACATATCACTCCCAATGGGGTATGGAGGTCAGGTAAGATTTTGCCACCAAAAGAATTATAAAACAAATTTACAGTTGCCCGAGATTTGTGGACTTTGGACTTGTAGATAGGAATTATGGTCTTGCACTTTTTTAGGTTATATGTGGGCTCTTCATTTGTCATCTTTTCTAAAATGTAGAAATGAATGCTAATAGGACTCAACTACTTTTTTTCTTTTTTATTGTGCTTTAAGTGAAAGTTTACAATTTAAGTTAGTCTCTCATACAAAAATTTATACACACATTGTTATGTGACCCTAGTTGCTCTCCCTATACTGTGACAGCACACTTCTCCTTTCCACCTGGGTTTCCCGTGTCCGTTCAACCAGCTCCTGTCCCTTTCTGCCTTCTCATCTTGCCTCCAGACAGGAGCTGCCCATTTAGTCTCATGTATCTACTTGAACTAAGAAGCACCCTCTTCACAGGTATCATTTTATGTCCCATAGACCAGTCTAACTTTGTATGAAGAGTTGGCCTTGGGAATGGTTTTAGTTTTAGGCTAACAGAGAGTCCGGGGGCCATGTCTTCCCAGGGTCACTCCAGTCTCAGTCAAACCATTAAGTCTGGTCTTTTTACTAGAATTTGAGTTCTGTACCCCACTTTTCTCGTGCTCCTTCAGGGACTGTCTGTTGTGTTCCCTGTCAGGGTGGTCATTGGTGGTAGCTGGGCACCATCTAGTTCTTCTGGTCTCCGGCTAATGAAGTCTCTGGTTTATGTGGCCGTTTTTGTCTCTTGAGCTAATATTTTCCTTGTGTCTTTGGTGTTCTTCTTTCTCCTTTGCTCCGGGTGAATTGGGACCAATTGATTTATCTTAAATGGCCACTTGCAAGCTTTTAAGACCCCAGACACCACTCACCAAAGTGGGATGCAGGACATTTTCTTAATAAAAATTTGTTATGCCAATTGACCTAGATGTCTCCTGAAACCGTGGTCCCCAGACCCCTGCCCCTGCTACTCTGACCCTCAAAGTGTTTGGTTGTATTCAGGAAACTTCTTAGCTTTTGGTTTAGTCCAGTTGTGCTGACTTCCCCTGTAGTGTGTGTTGTCCGTCCTTTAACCTAAGATAATTCTTGTCCGCTGTCTAGTTAATGAATACCCCTCTCCCTCCACACCCCCATAACCATCAAAGAATGTTTTTTTCTGTGTTTAAACCTTTTCTTGAGTTCTTATAATAGTGGTCTCATACAATATTTGTCCTTTTGTGACTTACTAATTTCACTCAGCATAATGCCTTCCAGGTTCCTCCATGTTATGTTTCACAGATTCATTGTTGTTCTTTATCATTGTGTAGTATTCCATTGTGTGAATATACCATAATTCGTTCATCCATTCGTCTGTTGATGGGCACCTAGGTTGTTTCCATCTTTTTGCTATTGTGAACAGTGCTGCAGTAAACATGAGTGTCCATGTATCTATTCGTGTGACAGCTCTTATTTTTCTAGGATGTATTCCAAGGAGTGGGATTGCTGAATCGTATGGTAATTCTATTCCTAACTTTTTAAGGAAGTGCCAAATAAATTTCCAAAGTGGTTGTACCATTTTACATTCCCACCAACAGTGTCTAAGTGTTCCAGTCTCTCCACAACCTCTCCAACATTTATTATTTTGTGTTTTTTGGATTAATGCTAGCCTTGTTGGGGTGAGATGATACCTCACTGTAGTTTTGATTTGAATTTCTCTAATGGCTAATGATCATGAGCATTTCTTCATGTGTCTGTTAGCTGCCTGAATATCTTCTTTTGCAAACTGCCTGTTCATATCCTTTCCCCTTTTTGTAATTGGGTTATTTGTCTTTTTGTTGTTGAGGTTTTGCAGTATCTTGTAGATTTTAGATATTAGTCATTGATCGGATTTGTCATAGCCAAAATTTCTTTCCCAGTCTGCAGGTTGTCTTTTTAATCATTTGGTGAAGTTTTTTGATGAGCATAAGTGTTTGATTTTTAGGAGCTCCCAGTTATCTAGTTTCTCTTCTGGTGCTTGTGCATTGTTACTTATGGTTTGTAATCTGTTTATGCCATTTATTAGAGCTCCTAGTGTTGTCTCTATTTTTTCTTCCATGATCTTTATCATTTTCGATTTTATATTTAGGTCTTTGATCCATTTTGAGTTAGTTTCTGTGCATGGTGTGAGGTATGAGTCTTGTTTCATTTTTTTGCAGATGGATACCCAGTTATGCCACCATCATTTGTTAAAGAGACTGTCTTTTCCCCAATTAATGGATTTTGGGCCTTTGTCAAATATCAGCTGCTCATAGATGGATGAATTTATGTCTGGATTCTCAATTCTGTTCCATTGGTCTATGTATCTGTTGTTGTACCAGTACCAGGTTGTTTTGACTACAATGGCAGTATAATAGGTTCTAAAATCAGGTAGTGTGAGGCCTCCCACTTTGTTCTTCTTGAGTAATGCTCTACTCATCCTGGGCATCTTTCCTTTCCATATGAAGCTGGTGATTTGTTTCTCCATCTCATTAAAAAATGCCCTTGGAATTTGGATCAGGATTGCATTGTATCTGTAGATTGCTTTGGGTAGAATTGACATTTTCACAATGTTGAGTCTACGTATCCATGAGCAAGGTATGTTTTTCTACTTATGCAAGTCTCTTTTGGTTTCTTGCAGTAGTGTCTTGTAGTTTTCATTGTATAACTCTTTTATGTCTCTGACTAGATTTATTCCTGAGTATATAATCTTCTTGGGGGCTATTGCAAATGATATTGATTTGGTGATTTCCTCTTCAAAGTTCTCTTTGTTGGTGTAGAGGAATTCAATTGATTTTTGTATGTTGATCTAGTATCCTGATACTTTGCTGAAATCTTCTATTAGTTCCAGTAGTTTTCTTGGGGATTCTTTGGGGTTTTCTGTGTATAAGATCATATCATCTGGAAATAGAGATATTTCTACTTCTTCTTTACCAACTTGGGTGCCTTTTATCTCTTTTTCTTGCCTTACTACTCTGGCTAGGATCTCCAACACAATGTTGAATAAGAGTGGTGATAAAGGCCATCCTTATCGGGTTCTGTTTCTCAAGGGGAATGCTTTCAGACTCTCTCCATTTGGGATGATGTTGGCTGTTGGCTTTGTATAAATGCCCTTAATTATGTTGAGGAATTTCCTTTCTCTTCCTATTTTGCTGAGAGTTTTTATAATGAATGGGTATTGGACTTTGTCAAATGCCTTTTCTGCATCGATTGATAAGATCATGTGGTTCTTGCCTTTTGTTTTATTTATATGATGAATTACATTAATTGTTTTTCTAATGTTGAACCATCCCTGCATACCTGGTATAAATCCCACTTGATCATGGTGAATAATTTTTTTGATACTTTGTTGAATTCTTTTGGCTAGAATTTTGTTGAAGATTTTTGCATCAATGTTCATGAGGGATGTTGGTCTGTAATTTTCTTTTTTTGTGGTGTCTTTACCTGGTTTTGGTTTCAGGGTTCTGCTGGCTTCATAGAATGAGTTTGGGAGTATTCCATCCTTTTCTATGCTCTGAAATACCTTTAGTAGTAGTAGTTTTAACTCTTCCCTGAAAGTTTGGTAGAATTCTCCAGTGAAATCATGAGGGCTAGGGATTTTTTTTTTTTTAATTGGGAGTTTTTTAAATTACCTTTTCAATCTCTTATTTTGTTATAGGTTTATTTAGTTGTTCTACTTCTGTTTGTATTAGTTTAGGTAGGTAGTGAGTTTCTAGAAATTTGTCCATTTCCTCTAGGTTGTCAGATTTGTTACAGTACACTTTTTCATAGTATTCTTATGATTCTTTTAATTTTAATTGGGTCTGTTGTGATATCCCCCATCTCATTTCTCATTTGGGTTATCTGCTTCCTCTCCTGTTTTTCTTTTGTAAGTTTGGCCAATGGTTTATCAATTTTGTTGATCTTTTCAAAGAACCAGCATTTGGTCTTGATAACTGTTTCAATTGTTTTTCTATTCTCTATTTCATTTAATTCTGCTCTAATTCTTATTATTTCCTTTCTTCTGGCATCCGAGGACTCCTTTTGCTGCTCTCTTTGTACTTGTTTGAGTTGTAGGATTAATGTTTTGATTTTGGCCATTTCTTATTTTTGGATGTGTGCATTTATTGCTATAAATTGACCTGTGAGCACTGCTTTCGCTGTGTCCCAAAGGTTCTGGTAGGATGTGTTT